CCTACCTGAGTTGCCTCAGCTGTAAAAGGAGGGTGCGGATAGAAACACCTCCCAGCGCTGTAGGGGACTGAAAGGGTTCATGGCTATACAGTGCCAAGAATAGCACCCGGCCCGTAGTGAGGGCTGCCTGCCTGCAAGTCGTGACTGGTTAATAATCACATGTTGAGTCTGTATTATGTGCCTGGCATTACACAGTCCTTCCCCTGCTTTATCTCATTTAATCTTCTCTGTAACCCTATGGGGTTGATTTAGTGAATTCTTTCCCCAGGAGAAATTCCCTGGAATGGGAAGTCCTGGGTCAGTGTTGCAGCTGGGGATGGGGAGGGCGGTGGTTGTGGTCTTAGTGCAGGGGGGCCTTTACTTAGCACACAGCCTCCCCTGAGGCTGTCTCAGGCACCCCTGGGATCCAAGGCTCAGGGCCAGGGAATCCAGGATGGGGTTGTGGCTGCTGGAGGCAGTTTGCATGAGGGGGGCTCTAGCAGGAGGCTTTTGAGCTTCAAGGGCCCCCTGGTACCTGCCCCTTCTGCTCCAGGCAGGCCTGCTCTTCTTCACCTAGGCAAGACACTCTAACCCTTGCTGGGGGAATCCTTTTTAGGAGGTGGAGGGTGGGGGTGGGGGGGCGCACAGCTGGAGGTTGGGTGGGTGTTCTTGGAGTGTTACTTGGGGAGCTTGCTTGGCAAAGCTGGGCTGGGGGTGGGGCTCGGTGCGGCGTGGGGGGGGGTGCGGCAGCTACAGTGGGCGGGGCAGGAGCTTGTGTGTGAGTGGGAGCAAGTGGAGCCTGGGACGTGGCTTAAATGGAGGGGCCTGATGGGGTGGGTGCTGGGCTTGGAATGGGGCTTGTCTGGGTGGGGCCAGGGCTGTGCCCTAGTGGCAGGGGTGGGCTTGCCCAGGGTCCTGATTCCTATCCCTCTCCTGGTGATCAAGTATTTTTGTGTAGGATGAACAGCCTGGCCCAGAGGAGAGGCAGCCTCAGGTCACTCTCAGAGGGCTGAGCACTCTGCCAGGTGGTCACTGTGCCAGGGCACCCCGTGTGCCTCTTTCGTGGGGCCAGAGATGCTTATCTATACCCGTTGCAGGGGCTCTCTTAAGTGGCCCTTTCTCCCCACTCCCTCATCGATGCTTGAGCAGGGAGAGGAGTTTGGGGAGGGAGGAAGGCTTAGTCAGGTGTCAGGCCATTTCTCTTTTTCTCTCTGCTTTCCCTCTTCTGCATGCTCCTGGCTCTGCCCCAGGTCTGGAAAAGGCAAATGTTCCCTTTGGCAAAAAGGAGGTGAGAGGAGCCTCTCAAGGGAGGGGACCTTGGCAGCAGAGTGGACTGGAGGGGAGGTTGTGTACTATCAACCTGGCCGTTCCTGTCATCTTGGCCTCCACCGGTCATCTTGACCTCTCTTGTCATCCTGGTGCCCCTGGTCATCCTGACTGCCCTCTGTTTACTCTCCCTGAGTAGGCCCTGAGGTCTCCAAGTTTGAAGCGGAATTCCCCAGTGAAGGATGGAGTACAGCCCTGTCACAGAAAATGAAACATAGAAGGTGAAAGAGCCAAATAAGTCATGGCCTTATTTGAGAGGAGAGGTCATCTTCCGGGAGCCTGCAAGTCCCCTTGGGCTAACATCTTTTACCTGACCCTGGTGGCCCTGGGATATGATGGAGGGGGCCTGGGATAGCTTAGACAGGGCTGGGCTGTGCCCATATAGCGCTAACGCACCACAGGCTCCTTGCTGGAAGGGCCCAGGGTTCCACCTTTGGGATAGTGCTTCTCAGTGCCCAGCGATGGATGGATACAGGACCTGTGTGTCCTTTCCACATAGAAGATTGGTAGAGGAGAAAGGTGATTGTCCCCATTATACAGATGAGAAGACAGTTCAAAGAGGGTGCAGGTTGGGCCCAAGGGCACCCAGGACAGTGATGATGGAGCCAGGGTTAAAGCCAGAGCCAGGCCTTTTCCTCCAACACTGTAACACCTTAGTGAGGCCTGAGCCTTCCCACCTACTCACCTGTACAACTCTTTAGGACTGACTTCTGGGTGGGATGGGGGGATCACAGGCCTGCTCACTGTAGTGGTGGGTTTAATTTTCAAAGGTGCAACTCAACCCAATTCTCAATTACTTACAAGTGATAGATCTAACAGATCTAACTCCTTTCTTATCGGAAAGGTTGAAAGTCAAAGAAGGCAAGAAGATGCAACTGCCAACCAAAGAAAGCTGGTGGAGCCAAGTTAATATCAGACAAAATAGATTGTAAGGAGTAATATGACTATGATCAATGACAGTAACTTCATAATTTATCACCAAAGCTCCACTTCCCCAGGATGATATAATGCCCCTAAATTTGTATGCTCCTAATAACATAGTCTCAAAATAGATAAAGCAAAGTAGCAGCTCATGCATGGACTAGTATTTTCATTTTGGAAGTCATATATATGTATATATTTTTTTCCTGACAGAATTCAGTCTTTGCCATTAGCCTTGGTGAGGCTGAAATGAGTCAGGCCCTCCTCTCAGGGAGTTTGCCCTATAGAGGGGAGGAAAAAAAACACCACAGATTCATGAAACAGCTGGAGACTACTGGTTGGCACCAGCTGTGGAGGATGTAGGTTGTGTTCTGAAGACACACTCATACTCATAGATTTCTTTCCACACTGGCATAGAGCGTCCCTGAATTTCAGTCCTAATCTCAAAACAAGACATTAGAGATCTGAGTTGTCATTCTGTTCATGCAAGGTATCCTGGGCTGTTGGAAGCAGCCCCCTGTCCTGTAGTCCTGGGGATCCTCCTACTCCTCATGGATGTCTATGGCAGTGGCTCTGTGGTCACACTCATGGGTCCTGCTGATCATCCTGATCAGATGACAGGGAATTCCTCTGTCCTCCATCCAAGGACAAATTCTGTGGGGACCAAAGCTTATCAACAAGAGGGGGACACTCTAAAAAAACACAAAATCGTAAATACAATTAGCTATAATGATGAATATTTATTTAGAATGGGACAAGAAATCACAGCAAATTGTAGATTTTTAGAAGCGACAAATACCACAAATAATGCAAAATACAGAAAAACATCTGCAATAATTTTTCTACCATTCTTGCTGTATACTTTTTGATAGCTTTTGCATATGTAACAGTTTTGAATATTTTCCAAAAAGAGAACCGAGAGATAATGCAATCTTTATTTAGCATGGTTGAACAAAAATTGTTTTGTATTGTTAATAGTTTGAAGATATTTCTTAGCTTCACAGAACATTTTTTTTTTAAGATTTTATTTATTTATTTAAGAGAGAGTGAGAGAGAGAGCGTGCATGAGCAGAGGGGAGGGGCAGAGGCAGAGGGAGAATCAGGCTCCCCGCTGAGCAGGGAGCCCGACTCTGGACTCATCCCAGGACCCTGGGATCATGACCTGAGCTGAAGGCAGACACATCACCAACTGAGCCACCAAGACACCCTTCACAACCCATTCTTGGTAATGTTGGTAATGTCATACACATTTTTAGGACTGTGATCAAGTCTGGGAAGATATCTATCCAGTTTTTCATACCTGGATAGAAAAGTTTCAGGGCACATCCAGTTTTTTTTCTTTTTTTTCTTTTCTTAAAGATTTTATTTATTTGACAAAGACAGACAGTGAGTGAGCACAAGTAGGGGGAGCAGCAGGCAGAGGGAGAGGGAGAAGTAGGCCCCCCACTGAGCAGAGAGCTAGACGTGGGGCTTGATCCCAGGACCCTGGGATCATGACCTGAGCTGAAGGCAGACGCCCAACTGACTGAGCCACCCAGGGACCCCAAGTCCAGTTTTCTTGTACAGCGATTAACCTGAAAGAGTCTTCGAATTAATGACACTCGTTAACTGTTTTGTTGCCACTGCCCTTGCTGCCATGGTGATTTACAATTTTAAGCTGATGTGAAATCAGCACGAAATGTAAATATTTCCCAGTGTGTTATGGGATGCATCCCTCTTCATTAACTGGATTATCGGAAATCCAACAGGCTCTTGATTTCTTCTATTCCATGATGATCTCTTCCTCTTGAATTACTTTTGGTTAAATTCAGGTCTCATTTTCAAACTAACGGCTCCTCGTTCTGGACCCAGGAGACTGTGGGAAGAAAAGAGAGGTGAGGGGAGCAAGGCATGCTGATGTGTGTCCCAAATTTTCCCTCGTTGGGCATCGGCCCTAGAGGGGAGAAGTGTTTCCATCAAGTCGAGGAAGAGGCAATCCATGGGGCACAGACGCTTGCTCTGTCAGCCACACGGGTCTCTGGGACGAAGCTGCCTCTGGGCTGCCCCATCTCCTGAGCACAGTCCCATCAAGGTCTGTTGTGCATCTCCAGGGAGGCCAGGCAGGGGCTCTCCTGGTGCCAGGGCAGCCTCCCCGAGCAAAGTGAACAGCCCCACCATGGTTGCGAGGCATGGTGGTGCACGGCGACCTGAAGGCAAAGGCCAGGGTTCAAGCGCTGGCCTGGGCCACGTGGAGGATGAGGCCGTTTCCTGGCTTACCGCCAGTGAGAGTTTGGTCAGTGATGGACACGGTTGGCTGGCCGAGGCCTGAGGTCCCGGAGGGGGTCAGCAGGACACCTGGTGGAAGGCAGACCAGGGGCATCCCCCTGGAGGTCAGCTGATGCCCAAGGACCAGCACCAGGCCACAGGGTCACAGGAACCACACCCTGCCTCCGGGGCAAAGATGTCCTTGGAGGGTAGAGAAGGAAGCTGGGAGAAAGTGCTTTCCCACTCAAAGGGAAGCAGGCTACTCACCTGCAGAGACTGGGAAGGGAATCAGCTTTCCACAGGCCAGGCCTCAAAGCGAACCTGAGCCCTCTGCCAGGCGGGAGCAGACAAATTGCATTTCGTCTTCCCATGAGTCCCATTGTGAGCGCCAGGACACACCGAGCCGTGGGGGGCTTGGCATAGAAGAAAGGGACCCTGAGAGGGCAAGAGGCAAGTCTTGGGGGCTGTTAACAGCAGGCCAGACAGGCACCGGGCAGGGCGGGCATGCAGATCTGGGGGCGCCCCAGGTCTCAGGCCCCCAGCTCGTTGGTGCCGGTGGAGGGTGTCTCCGTCCCCTCCCCCTCAGGCTCCTCCCTCAGCGCCCTGAGGAGTACGGCCCCCAGGGGCACCCACAGGCCCCGGTGACCCTGGCTGCCCACCACGAAGTAGACGACAGGATTGGCATTACTGCTCAGGGCTGAGGAGAGGCATGCCACGTGGTGGAATAGAGCCTTCTGTTCCTGGGGCACGTCCAGCCAGTAGAGGAAGAACCAGCTGATGCCGAGGGGCAGGGTGCAGACGAGGAACACCGTGACGGAGGCCAGGAGGACCACGTACAGCCACGTGGGCCGCCGCCGCCACTGCCACGAGCTCCTCCGCACCCGCACGAAGTGTCACGCTGGACGGGGTCATCACTGGGGTGAAGATCCCCATAATGAGGAAGCTGAAGACAGAGTCCACCGTGAAACACTGCTTTTGCGTGCCGTACCAGGACTTGCTGCAGAAGAGTGAGGCCAGCACGTTCATCAGGAGGGACAGCGCCCAGAGCAGGGCACACACCACGGCTGACAGGTACTGGGGCTGGTGACACTTGTACCAGATGGGGAAGAGGACAGACAGGCAGCGCTGCGTGCTGATGGCCGTCAGCAGGCTCAGGCTGGCGGTGTAGGCGAAGAACTTCACTCTCTGCATCACCTCGTAGGCCAGCACGGGGGTTTCTAGATAGAGCGTGACGGCCGTGCAGAGGAGGAAGAGGAGGTCAGCCACGGCCAGGTGGAGGACGTACATGCAGAAGGGGGTCCTCGGACCCCGGCAGCTCAGCAGCCAGACCACCAGGCCATTGCCCATCGTGCCGCATGCACAGATGAACGTGGCCAGGGAGCTCAGCACCTCTGGAGCTGTGTCCAGTGTGTCTACCTGGGGGTTGTCTTCGGGGATTTTACTCATCCAGCTGTGGTACACGGTCTCGTTCAAGTCTCAGCAAGCTTGAGAATCAGTTCATTTACCCGCCACCCCCGGGGTTCCCCTTCTTGGAACACCTGCTCAAAGTGGCTGCCCCCTTTTTATGTGGGTCTCCTTTCTGCTCCGTCTTAATTTGCAGGCGTCTGAATCCTTGCTGGTTTTAGGCACTGCAGATGTCATTCTCTGAGAGCTCTCTTCAGTATGGTAGCTTTCTGTGTTGTGAACTTGAGTGCACAGATGTGCTCAATTTTGGTATAATCAACTCCACTACATTTTCACCCCAAACTGTTGTGGCTTTCAGAACATTCCACATCCCTGTGTAAAAAAGATGTCCCCTTGTATTTTCCTCTGTTACTTTTATACTTTTCCCCATCCAGAATTTGATCTTGAGTCCAGCTGGAACTATTTTTATGTGGGATAAAGATAGGACACAGCTCGAGTTTTCCTCCATATTATGAGCCAGTTTTCCCAAAACTGTCTCCCAGACAGCCTGTCTTTTCCCTGTTGACTTATCAAGTTCCCGTTTACACATGGGACTCTTAAAACTTGCTGTTCTGCTTTCCCTGTTCCTACACACTGTTTTTACGTGCGTGTGTGTTTAAAATATGTATGTGGGTTTGTGTGAGCTCTGGGTGTTGTGTGGCTGACAGCCACTCAGTACGTGTTCTGTGCCCCTTTCACCAAGTTTCATCCTTCATGGAGACCACCGAGCTCTGCCTGGCTTTCCCCATGTCTGTGCCACTATCCAGAGAACACCTCCAGGCAGAAAGCTGGGGTGATCCCAGGGCTCACCTCTTCTCTTTCCCTTCTCTTAGAGTTCACACTTCCGGAATGCCTCTTGCCCAATATCTGAACACAATTGAGTCTTCTCTTTTCTCCAGTTTTCCGGTTGTTGCCAGTGAGAGGGCTGGTCCAGTAGCAGTTCCTCCCTTGTGGCTAGAGACAGAAATGCCTCTATTGTATTTTCCTCTTGATCATTGCTCGTGTGGAGGAACACTGTTGATTCTTGTAGCTTTTTAAAGATTTTTTTTTTTTTTTTAATTTATTTGACAGAGAGAGACACAGTGAGAGAGGGAACACAAGCAGGGGGAGTGGGAGAGGGAGAAGCAGGCTTCCCACCGAACAGGGAGCCTGATGCGGGGCTCGATCCCCGGACCCTGGGATCATGACCTGAGCCGAAGGCAGATGCTTAACGACTGAGCCACCCAGGTGCCCCGATTCTTGTAGCTTTTATTAACCAGGCAAATGTCCTGATTTAGTGGACCATACCTATCCGTTTTTCTGTTGACTATTTTGATTTTCTATGCTGCTATCCTCATCCCTCTAATTTCTTTTCATGTCTTGTAGCATAGATCAGAACATCTAGTAGTCTGCTGAGCAAATGGTTGCAATCAGGCATGCTTATCTTCTCCCTAATCTTAAAATTTCTCTATCGGATGTGATGGTTACCCTGAGTTTGTGGTATTAGCTTTTATCAAGGCGAGAAAGTTCCCTTCCGGGTTGTCTGGGAGTTTTTATCATAAATGATGGAATTTATCACAATTGTTGTTCTGCATCTACTTAATCACTTTCTTTTTTTCCTCTTTGTCTATTTATGAGGTGGATAGATAGTGGTAAGTTTTCTCGTATTTATTCATCCTTACGTTTTCAGGATAGACCATTTTTTTGTTTGCTCTGGTCACTCCCCACCTCTGCCCCTCCAGGTATCCTGACTTTATTTAGAAAATTTTCAGCCATGTTCATAAGTGAAATTCGCCCATAATTTTCCCCTCTGGTACTATCCTTGTCTGTTTTTTATTTCAAAGCGGTAAGATTATACTGGTTTCATAAAATGACTTGGAGAGAATGCCTTTTTTCTCTACCCTCTGGAACAATTTGTAGCATGTAAGGATTATCTTTCTTTGAAGATTTGGCAGAAGGTAAAACCATCTGGTCTGGTAATTTTTATGTGATTGTTAGTGGACATGCATGGCGTTGTAAAAAGAAAATTACAACTGCAATTTATTTAATGTGTTAGGTTTATTCAGATTTCGAATCTCTTCTTGAGTTAGAGTAGGGAATATTATTTTTCTGGAAAATTATTCATGCTTATGGTTTCACATTTATTGGTATAATACTCTAAATACTCTACACGATATTCTCTTATAAATTTTAAATCCCTACTTCAATCTGCCATTTTAAATTTGTGTGTCCACTTCTTTTTTTAAAAACCAGTTTGCTGGAGGTTTGCCTTTTCGAGAACTTTTTTTTTATCTCTTGTTTCTTTGCTTCCAATTTTCTTAATTGATGCTTTTACTTCTTCTACTCTCTTTGGATTCACCTTGTGATTGTTTTTTCAGCTTCTTGTATTGAACGCTTAGGTAATTGTCAAATGTTCTTCTTTTTCTAATGGGTATTTTGGGCTGTAGTTGTACTCCTAAGTATTTCTTTAGATGTTTCATGAGTTTTGGTGTGTAGTGTTTCATTGTTCATGACTAAATATTTTAAAATAAAAAACCACTGAAAATACTTAAAATTTAAATTTCCTTAAATTAGTTAGAAATACCTTTCATAACACTAGAAATAATTTTAACCGCCACAAATAACTTTTGTCATTTTCTCTTTAGCTTTTACTTATTTTTAAAAATATTTTATTTATTTATTTGACAGAGAGAGACACAGCGAGAGCAGGAACACAAGCAGGGGGATTGGGAGAGGGAGAAGCAGGCTTCCCGCCAAGCAGGGAGCCCGATGTGGGGCTCGATCCCAGTACCCTGGGATCATGACCCGAGCCGAAGGCAGACGCCCAACCGACTGAGCCAGCCAGGCGCCCCTCTTCAGCTTTTAAAAGCTGTGTTAAGTGGGTACAAATCCAAGATGATCATGGTGTCCCGGTCAAGTGTACCTTTTATGTCGTGGCCTTCTTCATTTTTTTTTCTTTTTATTGATTTATCTGAGAGAGAGAGAGAGCACAAGCCGGGGGGAGAGGCAGAGGGAGAGGGAGAAGAAGACTCCCCGCTGAGCAGGGAGCTGATGCGGGTCTTGATCCCAGGACCCTGGGATCATGACCTGAGCCAAAGGCAGACACTTAACTGACTGAGCCACCCAGGCGCCCTGAACCTCTTCATTTTCAGTACTTAGATTTACTACCAGGCATTTGGCACTGGTTTCTGTTGGTATTTACAGGATTTCACTGGGCCAGGAGCAGGTCTGTGATGGGGTTCATGGCTTGGAGATTTGGCATTTTCCAGGTATTTTAAAATTCAGACTCTGTACCTGTGAATGCTGCAAATCTGGGGCTTTAGTTACTGAAATCAGTCCCCGACTCTGCTCACACATCCTTCCCCCACAGTCTCAGGCAGGGAGAAGAATGGCATTCTGTGCAGAAAGCTGCTTCTCTAAGCAGCAGGGACCTCCTGGGCTCTGGCCTTGTGGAGCTACCTCTGCTCAAGCTCCAACTCCAAGATGCTTTCTAGCCCCACAGCCCTTCCTCACCCCAGCCCCACCTAAGCCCTGGCTCCTGGAGCCTGTACCCCACCTGATGTTTCCTGGGCCATCGGCATCAGCTCTAGTTGCAAATTCATTTGTAGCACCTAGAGATTTCCCTCCCCACCTTACCTGGGCCGGGGTAGGAGGGGGATGATGTTTTCTCCCGCATTTGTTTGTACCCACAGTGGGAGCATGGTACCATGACCCACACAACCTCCGTGGTAGCCCTACCCTTACAGTCCCTCCCTCAGGGTCCGCAGAAGTTTAAGTAACATTTATCAAACCTACACTGTGTGCCAGATACTATGTGCATAGTGCTCTATGTATGTAACACGTGGATAGGTAACAGCATACGTACATGATACATACCCACACACAGTAGCAGATGCACCTACGATAGTACAAATACACACACCACACACGCACACAGCCCTTGTGCGTACGCACACAACATGTGCACAGCAAGTTCAAGACAGACAAAGACGATCCTTCAGAACTCAGAGTCCCGGGCAGGAAATATACAATAGACACAATTATCCGCTACCCCCCAGGGGGTACATACCAAGGTGGGGTCCCTGTGGTGGGTGGGGCCAGAAGGTACTGAGGTCGGAGGGGGGCTGGGAGAGGCCAGGTGGAGGGGTTGCTGTGAAGGACCCACTGACTTCCCTGCAGGGGGCTGGGACCCTGCTACCCTGGCTCCTCCCCAGCCAGCAGAACCCTTTACACACCATCCTCCTCAGCCACTAGTGATTGGTCCCTGGCCGGTGCTGGGCACAGCAAAGGAGAGTCCTCGCAACCCCAAGCTAAGTAAGGAGTGAGTGGGCCGTGCTCCCAGGGATGGAGGATGGGGGATGCACCTGCTGCTCGGGTGGGGCGGGAAGCACACGGCCGCCCTGCGGGCCGACTGCCCTCCCCCCCCGCCCAGTCCAGTGCCCCACCCCACGTCTGGGTGCATGTACAGGGTTCCCCAGCACACCTGGGTGTCTCAGCAGTAATCTGATACCCTGCTGACAGGGACAGAGGGCCGACCAGGCCAGTGCTCCTCTGGGCCCTGGGCTACCAGACCCTCCCGGGGATGCTGCTCTGAGGGGAGACAGTCGACAAGCAAGAATATGCAGCTTCAGGTGGTAACTCACAGAGGTGCTGACAGCTGCTGGGATAGGAGCGTTAGTAGCCAAGCTCACAGCGGGCAGAGCAGGGAGCAGGGATAGAGCACTGGGTAGGAGGGGTGTGTTGTACGAGGGGTGGCTCCCTAGATCCCCCGAAGGGACATCTCTCAGTAGCAGAGACCCCCAAGTGCACTGAGGAGGCAGCTGTGGAATCAGGGAGTGTGGGTGACCTTTTGAAGGATTGTGTGGCAACGGGCGTGTGGGTGGGGAGGGCAGAGAAATGGGGCCAGGAGGCTGAGGACAGGAGCCACTCAGCAGAGAGAGACCTGAGGGCGCAGGTGAGTCCATGGTTGCAAGGGGGGCTCCTGGGGACAGAGGTGGTAGGGCAGGCAGCTGGCTGGGAGGTGAGCATCACCCAGGGGAGAAGCGAGACGGGGGGAACCCCAGGCGGGAAGTCTCCTCCTTTCTGGTGAGAGAAGAGGGGCGTCAGATATTGGGATTGAGGAAAGAGAGGAGGGATTTGGGGGCTTGAAGAGAGAGGGGACCTCCTCCTGACAGCTATGGACCCAATTGTGTCCCCCTTAAATGATCCATTGAAGTACCAAGCCGCAGAGCGACTCTCGGAGATGGGCCTGGAGGAGCTAATTAAAGTGAAATGAGATCACCAGGGTGGGTCTTGATCTGATAAGATTAGTGTCCTTCTTAGAACAGATACTTGGGGCCCTCCGTCCTCCCCCAGCCACCTTCCCTCTGCCGGTCTGGTCCCCGAGCTCCACTGGTGTGTCACTCGGCCTGCGAGCCCCTCGGGCAGGCCTGCATCTGACTTGAGCCGCTCCTTGCCCTCCCAGCCGCTGGCCCCATGCCTGCACGAAGCCAAGGCCCAGGGATGGTGATGGTTTAGAGCACAGTATCTGTTGAGTGTATTCCTGTCCTCTGAAGCCTTGTTTAAATTTTTGTCTACCCCACTGAAGACTTAGGGAAATGTTTCGTTTCCCGCGAATATTGCCCATTTCTCATTGTACTTTAAACATTAAAAAAGTCACCTAGATGAGATAGTAGAACGGTCTTATTTTAAAAGACCTGAGGGTCAAGAGGACGTAGGTTTTGCTGTGCCTTCACCCTGCGTCTCACTGTTAACGGTGGGATTACAACCTTGGAGGTTTTTTTTTCTGTGCATTTCCATATAATGTTTTAACAGAAATGGAAACCTATTACCTGCTGCTTTTCCCAAACGAACTGTATGTCTTCTTCAATTGTGCTCACCTGACACCTTCATGTCCTCCCTTTGTCCTGGCCCTGGCTGTCACCACTGATGGGGTCTCCCCATGTGGCTGGCTCCCAGGGGGGTAATATGAGCCACTTTTATTTATTTATTTATTTTAAAGATTTTATTTATTTATTTGAGAGAGAGCGAATGAGAGAGAGCACATGAGAGGGGTTACGGTCAGAGGGAGAAGCAGACTCCCCGCCGAGCAGGGAGCCCGATGCGGGACTCGATCCCGGGACTCCAGGATCATGACCTGAGCCGAAGGCAGTCGCTCAACCAACTGAGCCACCCAGGCGCCCGATATGAGCCACTTTAAATATGGTTGTGAGCTTGGCTTCAGTCGTCCGTTTTATTTGGACGATGCCAGCTTGGCGAAGTCGAGGCACCTGCCCCAGCCATCCAGTTGCGCACGTGGGCTCTGCTTCGGGTCCCAAGGCGCACGGGGGCGCTGACGGGATGAGGCTCCTCACAGGCCGTCGGACCGCGGGCTTGGCGCCCTGCGGGCCGCCGGCCAGGAGCTGCCCTCCGCGCCTTGCCCTGGGGGCATCGCCGGCTTGGGGTCTCACAGCGTGGCAGCTGGCTTCCTGAAAGCCCGCGAGGGGGACAGCGGGCTCGTGTAGCCTCGGGCCTTCCGCTCCGCCCTGTTGGTTAGAAGCCCGGCTCCGGGTCCGGCCCAGCCTCCCCGCCCGGGACTCCGGGACTCGGTGGGAGGCCGTGAGCGCCAGGAGGCGGATGACGGGGCCCCACCTTGGGTTCCGGCTGCCGTGCGCACCGGCCGAGCCCCAGCCTCCCTGCACAGCCGGCCTCCCCGCGTCCCGTCCAGCGCGGATTATGCTGTGGGCCGCGCCTGTGTGCCTTGCGGGCTTTCCTTCCCCGGGGGGGATCTTTCAAGAACCGCGGGCATTCCACTCGGGGCAGCGGCTGCCCTCGGTCGCAGGAGCCCGGCTCTGGAGGACGCATCTCTGGGCCCGCTGGACGGAGATGGGAGCAGCCCACGGGTCCTGGGCTCAGTGCCGGGGAGGCAGTCCCCGGAACGGAGTTTGGATCCTCTCTCTTCTGGGGGCGGGGGGGGGGGGAGGGGAGTGCATAACACAAGTACTCATTCAGGTAGGAGCGTGAGAATCGTCCGTGGGAAAGGAGTGCGTGTGGTGGAAATCGCTTGTGGAGCTTCCCCGGTTGGTGGGTCAGTAAACTTCCTGGGCCCCCACCCCCTCCCCACCCCCACCCAAGCTAGATCAGACTGGGTTTCTGTTACTTGTCACCGAGGGTCCTGGCTGACAAGCTGTACACATCTGCCCCGGAAGCAGTGTGTCCTGTGTAACCTAGAGTGGCCTAAAGCAGAGAGGAGTGGTCGCCGCAGGCTGGCGGCAGGGCTGGGCTGGGGAGCTGGGGGCTGGGTGCTCTGGGGCACTAGGACATTCTTGCGGGGGGGGGGGGGGTGTCGGAAATGTTCTTTGGGGAGGATGCAAGCGTTCCACATACTGATTCGGTGAGCTCCCGAGCATGCATACCTGTGTCAAAGATCCTCGCCTATACAGTAAACCGGTTCCTTGTATGTAAATTAGACCACAATTAATCACAAGTTGTTTTGTTTTGTTTTTTTTAGAAAATCTGCCTGAGTAGGTGAGCCTTCTCCCGAATTGCCAGGAAACTTGATGCTGGCATTTCTGACTCACTGGAGCCGACTTTTCCATGAGTGTTCGTTCCGTGTACTGTGCCCTGTTGTCTCCAGCCTCCGCTGGCTTCAGGTACGCGAGTTCTGTGCTTGCGTTCGGAGTTGCCCGATTCGGGGTTTGGGGGGTGATCTCTGCAATGCCTCCGTAGCTCCCTGGTCTTGTCACTAGCGTGTTTAAGGGCACATTTGCCTGGGCTGGGCTTCTTCCCTTCTGGGGAGAGGCTGGACGGTAAATGGACCCATCCCTTCGTCCCACCTTCTAGATGGATTCCGTGGCTCCTGGGAAAGATGGAGCGTCTTGATGGAGGGTTCTAGACCAAGAAGTGCATGTGCAAAAGGATCTCAGGCTTCAGAATTCTGGCCCCAAATAGAAAACTCAGTTATCTCACGACTGCAGCTGGCAGGGGATTGGAGAAAGCGAGGCAGATGCTAGAGAGGCATTCTGTTTCCTCTTACTGAGCCGGGACATGAAGACAGGGAGAGGCCTCAGCTCTCAGGCTGTGTGCTGTGCGGTCTGCTGAACACGCGTCTCCTGCCCGTCCCCGCCCTCTTCAGCCGCCGGCAGCCCGAGCCTGGGCTGTCCCTGGTCTCAGGTGGGGACTGTGGGCTCCTACAAGGCCAGTCTGGGTTGTCCTTGGGCTGTGATGGGCCTGTCCTGTCTGCTCCACGTGGTGTCCCCGGGGCCCCAACTGCCGGTGCTTTGCTGGTGGGAACACAAAGGCCAGCGGCCTGGGTTCCAAGGCAAGCGGGCGGCCACCAGAACGTTTGGACTGTGACTGGGGCTCCACACTGGGGGCGACCAGGCTGTCCCTCAGAGCCCAGCTGTGCAGATTAAATGAGCTTTGCAGGTGGAGCTTTTAGCCCAGGGCCCACTGCACACAGCAGGTCCTCTGCAAATGGCAGTCCGTGCCCAAGTCCCCGGGGCTCGGGATTGGTTCTTTCCTCGTCCCTCCTTCCTGGCCACCTGCTCCCTCACGGCCACCTAGCCCCTGGCCTGTGCCTGACCAGGGATTTAGGACAGCTCCTAAGGCCTGTGCTGGGTCTTTGAGAAAACCCAGGCCCACGGCTTGTGGGTGGCAGCCCCCTGTCTCCCTGAGGCTTGCTCTTGACTTCCCATGTTTGACCCTGTTTATGCCCTGTATCATCCAGGAGTGTGCTTGTCCAGACAGTCATGGCAGGAGGCACAGAAAGCTGGGCCCGGCAGCCCAACCCTGGCCGCTGTGCCCTCCCTGGCCGGCATATCCGGTGGTGGTAGCAAGTTGTGCTTAGTAACAACTGGAGTGGCAGGGAGACAAGTGTTTCTTCCTTGTGTGGCCACCTAGGAGCTTGATAGGGATGGTGATACTCACCCCCTGAATTCGGCTGACCTGCAATGGTGAGGGGAGGATGGCAAGACCCCTTGCTCCAGAGAGTTCCAGGGTGGATATCTGTGATGCTCAGGGCCCTCTGCTTCCTGCCTTTCCCAGACACCCAGAAAGAAGGAGGCTGGGGGTGGGCCCAGCTGAGCTGCCTTTGCTGGGGGACAGCAGAGGCACCTCTGCCTGCCCCTGCAGCCTGCTCCCTGGGCCCTTTAATAACTCAGTACCCAAGGAGGGAGGAGAAAGTGCCCTTCCCTTCTGCTCCTGCTCCTGGTCCTCCATTAGCACAAATAGGGTTTGGTCTGGGGTGTGGACAGGATGTGCAGGCTATCCCCATGGGGGTGGGGACTGGATGGGGAGGAGAAGCCTTGCTCCCAAGAAAGACTGTAGGGATCCACATCTGAGAAGGTTCCAGAGGCTTGACAGGGCTGATCCTGGAGCTAACCCCCCACCCTCCCAGGCCTACTGCCCACTAAGCATGGGCAGATGCATGGTCATATGGGGGCCCAGCCCTTTCCTGACCTCCAGGCCCTGCAGTGAGTGAGGGCTGCCTGCTCCTCCCGCCCCCCCCGCCCCCCCCCCCCCCGCTGGGCTGGGGGTCTGAGCTGCTGCAGCTGAACCCAGGTAGGGAGTCCCCTTCAGGCTTCTGGGGGTGGTCGGTGGGTAGCTCCTGACAGTGGTTCAGGGCTAGAGGCCTGGGGTGGGAGCTCCTGAGGAAGAGGAACCCCCAGGGACTAGGATTCACTGGGTCCCGAGGCGTAGATTCCCTAGAGGTCCCCTTGGTTCCCTTGGCCCCCTTCAGGCCTGGGAGGCATTTCTATTGCAATGGAGGTCTGCTGGTAGAAGCTTTTCCCGTGAATGGGTCAAACGGGTCCCGCCCCTCGCGTGTGTCCTCAGGACCCGACCTGGTTTCTCTGAGTCCCCAGAAGTGTCAAGATAGGAGGCCTCCAAGTCTGCTTTTCTGGGATTCTTGGGCTGGCTTGCGGGGGGAAGGGGGGCAGGGGGGGGCGGGCGGGCCAGGGGTTGGGTGGAGTGTGGGAGAACGGGGAGGGTGCACCCCAGGGCTGGAAGTGGGAGAGGAAGGCGCACTGACCTCCACCATCTGAAGCTCCTCTGCCTCCAGACACCTGGGGTCCTCTCGGCAGAGCAGTGACCTTAATGGAGGAGCAGCTGGGACTGTTGGAAAGGGGAGGACAGGAGCAGAGGCCTGGGGAGGCCAGGAGGGACTAGTCCGGCCACCTGGGGGACTGGTCACCAAGAAATGCACTGGGGGGCAGCCCACACCAGGGTGGTCCTGCAGCCCTTGCTCTGGGACGACCAGGGTAAGGCAGAGCAAATCCAGGCTCTATGGGTGGAGGGCCAGCTGCCAGGCGGGCCAGCGGGAGAGCCTGGAGGTACCGCTGCTCCCTGGATGGGCCGGCAGTTGGTTCCGTTAGTCACCTGCCCACTCCCAGCCGTCTCCCTCCCCTCCCACTGCTTTCTCACAGGGGCCTGCTCCCTGCCTGGGCCATGGGTGCCTCTGCCCTGCTCTCTCCTTGGGCCCATGTAGTGAGCAGGTTCCCCCAGAGCTTCCCTGCAACGGGGCTGGGATCCTAGGCTGGACACCTGGAGCCCAAGACGGGCCTCTTCAGGGACTGGCTGGAGGCAGGGGGGCAGTCAGGGAGCCTCTGGCCCGGCCCTAGTTGAGCTATCTCTGGAGGGGCTCCAGCTTATCGCTGGGCAATGGGGAGGTGCCAGGCTTAGGGAAGCCAGCCCCTGCCCCTGCCTCGGGGGTGGGGGGGGACAGAGAGGGGCATCCTGGACAGGTAGCAGTAGGAGAAGCAGCAGTCCCACCTAAGGACACACTGTGTTCCTTAGAGCAGGACCTGTATTAACCAGCATAAGGCCTGGCTCTGAGTAGGCATGATGAAAACTGTTTCCCAGGGGAGCTGGGGACCCTGAATGGGTGAGAAAGGGCATAGGCTTATCCCAACAGGACAGCGTGGCTGACCAGAGCTCCGTGAGGCAGAGAGGTGGATACCCTACCAGGAGAGGGAACACTCCAGAGGTATAGACGGGCCAGCCGGGAGAGGCAGCACCCCAGAGGTGTAGAGGGGTCAGCCAGGATCCGCCAGGAGAGGAGCACAAATGCGGGGGTACAGAGCAGGTTGGGTGGGTGGGGCCTAGCATGGAAAGCCTGCCGTCTGGGCTGCTCGTCGCTGCAGGGAGCCTCACTGTGGAACAGGTGCAGACAGGACAGAAGGCAGAAAGCCTTGCTCAGTGCACGATATAAAACGTTTATTGATACACATTTATTGTCTTTCATAAAACTCGCATTGGCTACACGGGGCCGCTGTGCTCGGAGGTGGGCTGGGGCAGCCAGGTAGAGCCAGTGCCCACTCTCGGGTGGGGGCTGGAGCCCAGAGACTCCTGGACAGTCGGCCAGGTTTCGAGGACCAGGCGCACAGCAGCGCGAACCCGCTCTGCGCTCCGGGAGGCTGCCCAGGGTCTGGCCGGCATGGAGTCAGAGGAGAGAGTGACCTGCCCCAGCTGGCCGAGGCCCCTTCCTGTCCAGCTGCTTGCCATGACCGTAAACTCCCCCGTTAGAATTACCAAAGGATTTGGGCAGGGACGTCGGGTGCAGAAAGACGGAACAGCAAGGCAGGTTCGCCAGAACGCTCTTCCAGATAGCACCGTGTGTTCAGGTTGGCTCGCCAATACTGCCTCGGGGGGTGGAACGGAGGGAACAGGGACCCTGACGGGGGTGAAGCGGCTGCCCCAAGGGGCGGTGGTGCGGGCTGCGTCATTTTTAAGGAGGGCTGATTGAAAGGGGCAGGAGGTGGACGGGGATGGGTGATCCCTCCCTCCTCTCCTTTTGACCAGCCTGGGAGGAGGAGGAGCCCCACCCCCTGGGGCCACTTCCAAACCATGGACCTCTGGCCACGGAGGAGAATGGCTGGGGGGGCCTGGCCGGGCCAGGGGGCCTGTGTGCAGGTGGCTGCTCCGGCTCCCGGCCGGCCACCCCTAGAGCCTCCAGCCCACGGAGAAGGAGGCGTGAGGGGCGGGAAGCAGACTTTCCTCCTTGCACTCGGGCGCCAGGGCAGCTGCCCAGCTCCTGTCCTGCAGCAGAGGGTCTCTGGAGGCCACAGCCCCTGCCACCCTCCCGGTGCTAGCCTCTCAGGCGGCGTTCCCAGAGGGGCACTGCATCTCCATGGTGGCCGTGTTGGGCGTGCCGCCCCCGGCCTCCCCCAGCTCGGCGCCGTCTCGCAGGGCCCGCTGGAAGACCACCCTGAGAGGCTCCCACAGCCGCTGTGACTTGTCCCTTCCGGCCAGGAAGTAGACGACGGGCTTGGTGCTGCTGTGAATGCAGATGCATAGGTCGGTGACGTACTCGGGGAAGGGGGCTGGGATCTGGAAGACCCAAAAGAGGAACCAGTCGATCCCTAAGTAGATGGAGGACACGAGGAAAACGGAGACCATGGCCAGGATGACGTGGTTGAGCTTGGCAGAGCGCTGGCGCCGCCGGGCCCGGCATTCCACGTGCAGGATGAGCACCAGGCAGGGCAGCACCATGAGTGGGCAGAAGATAAGGAAAAGCAGGATGCCCAGGAAGGCGTCCATGGGCCTGCAGGCCCCGCCGGAGGCCCGGTGGGCCAGGAACACACAGAAGTAGTTGTGGATGCTGGTGACCAGGAGCGACAGGGTCCAGAGCAGGGCACACACCACGGCCGACAGGCGCTTGGGCCGACGGCGCCAGTACCAGACGGGGAAGATGACCGACAGGCAGCGCTCCAAGCTGACGGCGGGCAGGAGGCTCACGCCGGACACAAACGTGCAGAGTCCCACGATCCTGCACACGGCGCGGACATAGTCGGCGAACGTGCCCAGGAAGCCGCCCGTGTTCAGGACGGAGAACACAGCCTTGCTGAAGAGGTAGCCGATGTCGGCGCCGGCCAGGTGCAGGAAGTAGACAGAGAAGGGGCTCCTCTTGATGGAGAAGCCGAAAAACCAGAGGACCAGCCCGTTGCCCACGAGGCCGCACAGACAGAGGAGCAGGAAGATGTAGTTCATGACGGCGGGCGGAGGCAGCATGGTGATCTGCTCAATGGTCAGGAAGCCACGGCTGTAGAGCTCGGGCGCCTCACTCACGTCGGGACACATCTGTGCAGGTGCAGAGGGGAGACACTTGTGATGTGGGCTGGGCCCCACCCCTAAACCTGCACCTGTGTCCAGGCTGGTCACAGGCTGGTAGAGTCACTGGCTCTGGAACAATGAACTGGCTGTAGCTAGAGCAGAAGACACCCTTGCTCCCACATAGTGCCACGACTCTGTGTCCCCGAGTCTGCAGCTAGCGGCCTAGAGGAGTGACAGCGAAAACAGTCCCTAACAAAGGCCCGGGACTGCCCACCTGTCAGAACGGACTCTGGTCAAAAGGCGTCCGTGTCCTGAACGATACGGAACAACGGAGGAACCTTTCCAGGTTGAAGGAGCATGGAGAGCCGTGGCCAATAAATGCGAGGCTGCATCCTAGATTTTAGAGTGGCCCTACAGGTTGCTGTGAAGGATATTAGCGGGGTGGTGGGGAAATGTGCGTCCGGACTGGGTATCCTCGTACTGCACCAACGTTAGATTTTCTGAGTAGGAAGATGCACTGCTGCCCTGTACTGGAAGTCCTTGTTCTTAGAAGGCCCAGGCAGTTTGGGGGCAAAAGGGCTTGGTGTCTGCAGTTTACTTTCCAACAGTTCCGGGAAAGAGTCTATCATGAGACGCATAGAGAGAGCACAGGCAGCAAAGCCTACCAGCTGGTGAAGGACACGCACATCTGCACGGCGCTGTCCTTGCAAAGTTTCTGTACATTTGCCATTTTTCACACCAAAATGTGAAAATACTTATTTAAAAAATAGAATAAAGTTATTGATTGGAAAAAGTGGACCCTGGTCCTAACTGGAGTGGGAGGTGGTCCCATAGTGGGATCAGAGAGACCTGGGGACTGAGAGACGGTCCCTTGCAGGGCCAGCGTGACCCTGAGTCTCTGGGTCATGAGGGATCTGGATGTGGCCCCGGGCCCCCCTGGGGAGGGGGAGTCTCTTGGGGAAGCACTCTGATACTTGAACAATCTATCTGACTGACCGAGTGCACTGGGCTAAGTATCTTGCCTGTAAATTCTGGGCTGGGGATAAATGCGTGAAGGTGGACCAGGTGCAAGAAATGGGGCTGTTGGGGGGGTGCAAACTGGAGAGCACCTATCCTGAGTGAAGTGGGCAGCTGCTCTGCTCCAGCTGGTGGGTGCTGCGGGGCAGGAGGGTGGGCAGTTGAAACGGGACCGTGGGCTGAGTGGCCCGTCATCCTTCCCCCCCCCTCCCCAGAGAAGCCAGAACCCTAGATTGTTATGTGAACTACCCTGATCTTTAAATGTTCACATTTAAAAAACATTGTGTGGGCCAAACATAACACATCTACGAGCTGGATTCATTCTCAGGCTGTCATTTTGACCTCCCATTCCAAGCAACAAGGCTGCCCAGAGCACTGTCACTCCCCTCCCTCAGCCTGGCAGACATCACTAGTCCGTCCC